CAAACCAATCATTGGTATGGTAGCCGATGAATGAACGAACGATACTCTTAGACGATTCATGGCATCTTCCAACAGCAAACCGCGCGCCTCATCATTTTTTTTATTAACCAAAAAAAAGTTGCTTCTGGAATGGAAAATAAAAAGGTAAGGAGGAGTGACGACCGTTCAGAGGTGTTAGGCGACAATTGGCCTGCCCATCCGTCAGCCGATCGATGGCATTATCATCCCTCCCCCCTGCGCGTTTCACGTGACTTGACGAGAAAATTCTTCTTTGTCCTCGTTTGGTAGAGCACCATTTCAGAACGCAATCCAACTAGCAATTTCTTTTCTTTTCATCTGGTCTGGTCGCCACTAAACACCGCGAGAAACACTTTTGCAAAGCCGGCCTTCCGATTGATTCATTATCAGTAGCTATGAGCTCAAGAATATATGTTATTCAGAATTCAGATGCTGTTCAAGCGAAGCTGAGCTGAATAACAGACGCACACTTGCTGCACGTACGACAGGCACAGCTCGCTGGCTCGCCCAGGAAACACGAAGCCTTGTCCGGTTGTCCCGCTCGGCGGGCGTCCGAGTTGCGTTGCGTGAAGCCGCCACCTGTTTCGTCTGAATGCAATGCAACGCCTCCTTCCACGGTCTCGCACTCGCAGCTCGTCAATGGTCCGATCCCAGACAGCTAGCGCCCCTTCCGCGGACTGCTCCTCCACAGCGCCGGAACTGAAAGCACGGCCGGGGCAGTTCCTCGCCTGTTGCCCAACAGCGTCTCCCTCTCCCCTCCCTCCCTCCCCCGGGTCATCAGAAACTTCTATTGCCGGCACCGGCGAATGGTGGGGCGACACGGCAGGGACTCCCCGGCTCCAATGGCGATCTGACACAGGTGAGGGTGAGGCCACACCTCGATCGGTTAGGATAAAGCAGCGAGGACGACCCGAGCACGGACGAACGATCGGCAAAAAGGCTAGGCTAGGCTAGGCTAGGCCTTGTGCTAGGGTGGTGTTCGTGTGTTATAAACAATTCGGCTACTAGCAGTTTCATGGTTTCGGAGGGTAGACACGTCATGATCCGACAATGGCGTTGGGTGGCACAGGGCACAGGTACAGGGTACAGGGTCATCCATCCATCTGAACGAGATGCGCCGCAACCGGGTCAAGTTTCTCCGTTTCTGGTACCGACATATCTGGTGCCTGTAGGTGATCCCAGTCTGATGGGCGTGCGTGTGTTTCTTCAGAGGTAAGATAAGGGAGGTGAACTTCACATTTCTATACATTCACTCATTCAGATGATTGTTTAAAAAATGTCACCCCAAAACCTTATTTCTATATTCAGATGTTTGTTTAATAAATGGCACCCAACACCTTGCTTGCAGTACACCTCACAAATGATTGAGGCCTGTCAAATATTAGAGTATTGTCCCATGGAGTTTTCTACGTTCAATGGATGGCCTTGTATTTTCAATTTACAATAATAACGTGGAACTGGTGTAAGTATTTAAACTTTGGGTTTGTTTGTATTATTTGTGGCCTCAACCTTTTCATTTATATATATAAAAAATGAACTTCACATTTCTAACTTGTCTTCAGTAGCACTACATTACAAGCAGTATCTTACTGGTAGATTTCAACAAGACTTGATCAGTATGTACCAAAATGTCTTTTCTTTCGTCTCTTCTCGAAACGTTCTTGAAAATTCATAATCACGGAAAATTGTTCATCTAAACCAATGAGGATCACTGTCATCATGAATAAACTTCTGACTGACTGAGGTCGCTTTTTAATCTCCCTTCTGCAGTAACTAGAGTTCTAGATAATGCAATCAGAGTGCCATAACAATGAATAAAATAAATTTGACGTGACCTATGCTTCTTGACAGCTAAGGCCTGACGACGACACCCACATAGTATTTTTCTTATATAATATAGAGCTTGCCATAATCACACGAAGCAACTGGTATTACTAAAAAGAAAAATTTCGGATTTTTCCCAAGCATGGGCGCGTCACATTCGCTAAAAACTATGAACAGTCACAATCTTGAGGAACACACTACTATGTATCTTTTAGCTTTTGGTCTGAGCAACAAAGATATATGGATGATCTACAACTATACATACCCAATTATGCATTCTCTACCAGTTCACTCTACTAGTACTAATTCACCGAATTTTCGCCGAATCCCATCTCCTGGAGACTGGGCCTTGATGTCAGTGGCTCTACCAAGAGCAGATCAATGGAAGGTGTTAGGGTCAAATTCATTATTGGAGGGGGGGACCAATGAGACACTCGTCCTTGCACATCACTACCACATGCCCAATACCAAAAGCAAGTGCTGCCACCAAACTGAGATAAAGGTGGCATTAGTTAAGTGGTGTTAGGGAGGGGCACCCGCCCCTGCACTTTTAACCAGAAATGAAACGAAACGAAAAAGGAGATTTGGCCTTTGGGCGTGCAATGCAGATGCAGCATGTATGTAGACATCTGGTGGTACATTTCTGTTGCTCATGCACTTGGTCCTGTGAGACGTCAGCGTCGTATCTCAGCAGGAGCTGGTCGAGCATCTGATGATGATCAGATCAGTTGTGGCCGGGATTGGGAGGTTCACAGGGCAAAGAGGGTTTAGGTCCACCAACTGGTGGTTACGAGACTAATACAGCTTAACAGATACCCCATCACCTACTCTAGCGATCAATCAAGACCCTGCAGGGAGTGAGTGAATGAACCACCTGAAATTGGCAACTTGGGGGACTTTTTCAGGTAAAAATACACCAGGCAAAGGCAAGCGAGGGCGCTAACTTTGTGTCCGGCAAGTGAACTAGGCAGGCAAGTAGTTGGGTTCTTCTGCTGAAAGAGCACTACTGAAAGTGAAATGACATCAACGTTTGCAAGAAGCGTAAAAACTAAGAAATTTTAACGGCTTCCGCTTTCCTTGTGTGCTTATAGTGGAGAAAACAAAGCTCTGATCCGCCGATGGCTATCTGATCGCTCACGAAAACAACAAAACAAAAAACATGTATATGGTACTACTGATTTTTTTCGGTTTGAGTTGTATCGAAGAATAAGCTTTGGACATGGATTCGTCTATGACAAAAGGGAAAGAAAATAACTTTGCATAATACTACCTCTGTTGTCAAAAAAATGATACAATCCTAGTTCTATAGTTAATCAAACTATCTCAAAGTTGATTAAATTTATAGAAAAGAGTATCAGTATTTAGACAACAAATAAATATACTATGAAAATATATTCCATGATAAATCTGATGATACTATTTTGGTGTCATAAATATTGTTACTTTTTTTGATAAATTTAGTCAAATTCAATAGTACTATGGTAGAATTGCATCCTTTTTGGGACGCAGTGAATACTAAAATTGCTTCCGTTCTTAGAAAACTAAGCTGATCAACTTAACGCTATCTGATTGCTCATCAAGACAGCAAAACAAAAACATTTACATGATATTAAAATTCCTTGCGACATTGTTATTTTTTTATATGTATATTAACAACAAATTTGTCAGAAGCTCCGACACTAATCCAAGAAGGAGATAAGCACCCGAGCTGATCCAAGGACGCGAAATATGGATGATAGAATCTTTGGGCATGCGAACAGTCTCAAAATTGAGGGCTGAGATTGAGCATCATCCAAGTGAAAGAATCTCAGCCGTCCAATTTCCTATTCCAGGAGCGTGCAGCAGTCAGTGAAAACCTATGTGAGAAAATGATAGAGAAAAGAGATAGAGAGGAATAAGTGAGAGGAAACAAACTAAAATGGTGGTGGGGTTTCTTTAAGATTTCATTTATAGGAAGATAGCGTTAGGCAGCCCTTATTGGTGGCAGGAGTATATTATTGCTCAAGGTAGGAGGAGTCAGGGGTTAGAACAACTCAAGTCTAGAGAGGGAACCAAAAGGGAAAAATAACAAAAAGAATAGACACGGCTCTGTTCTTCTTATTCCAATCTTCTCTCATATTGCTGATTCATTCTTAGAATCCTTGGGATCAGCTCTGTCTGTCCTCTTGTTAGGTGGTTTCTGTTATAGCCAAAAACTCTTCCTCTTTCTAAGTCTCAACTTCAGTTTCTTGCAGAGGTATAGCCTTATCTTTGTGAAGCTTAGATTATTCTTTGCGTCTTAATCTGAACAACATACATCATACATGAATTCTTGATTTCTACTTCCTGCTTGTTGAGCTTTCAGTTTCTAGTTAGCTCCATGTGTTTGGTGGTGGGTGCACCAGCTGAATAGGTTGGCTCTTGTTTGACTTGGTCTCTGAAGCACTAGTCAAGGTTCTTTGAAATCGGACTGAATTTTTCTCTGGAGTTAGTTCTTCTTGACTGAAATTTCTGGCTGTGTGCCGAATTTTAGGATTCCTTTCCTTTCATAGCCCACTGATTTGGACTGCTGGTTTTACTCTAATTAGGTGATGCCTTCAACATAACAACTTAAAGGCTTCGATTGCTTTCTATGTCCCAGGTAGATATCTTAAAAACTTTGGTGACCGTCTTCGAGGAAGTGCAGTCATCTGAAGTTTATCGTCCCAGGTAGATACCTTAAATTTTTGTTGGATCCACTCTTTCGTTGTTTTGTGCTGATTTTCTTCAGGCTTCGCTCGCTGGCTCGCCCAATACAAGACATATTCTTCAGTTCTTTTGCAGTCTCCTGCCTGAATTTGCTGTTATTATTGCCAACTAGTATTTGACTCACTATATTTTCTGACGAATTCGGTATGCTGATGCATGAGATGTTTTGCTTCTGATTCAATCATAAATGTTTAAAGAAACTATCCCTTTCTTTTTCTTTTGTCTCCAATTACATGCAGCAAAGCCGAATTTCTAATAGTTTGGAATCTGCAATTTTTTTTCTTTTGCAGCCAGCTGTTATCTTGGAGCCGCATACAGTATCTTTGAAGCTTTGTTAACACCAATCTGATTCTGATGACAAAAACAGTCACTATCTCCCGTCATCCTTGTAACGATCTGTCAGCCGGCCTCATCTTGTGCTTCTGAAGACGATGGCCACATTCTTCTCCACTTCTACGAATCAGAGGGACCTCGCCGGAGGCGGCGGCGACATGTCGTTCCACCACTACACGTACTCGGATTCACCAGCCGGCGGCCTCGTGCCTTTCCCCGCCGCCATCGTGTCGGAAGGCCACGTTGCGCATGGCCATGGCGGTGACGACGGCAGGGACGAGCCGGGCGCGTTCGTGAACGTGAACGCGAGGGACGGGCCGGCGAGCGGCGCCGAGATGGGCCTGCAGACGCAGCTGCTCATGGCGAACGCGTCGGCGGCGGTGCAGCACCAGGGGCTGTCGCTTAGCCTTGGCACGCAGGGAGTGCCGGTGTCTCTTTACCAGTACCGGCAGGCGCAGGCAGGCATGGCCGCCGCCGCCTCCTTGCTGAGCCCGAACCAGGCGTCGACGACGGCGAACAGGAACGCGCAGGGCATCTACATTCAGAACTCCAGGTACCTCAAGGCCGCGAGGGAGCTGCTGGACGAGGTGGTCAATGTCCGGGACGCGATCAAACGCAAGGGAGACAAGAACCAGCAGGGCAAGGATTCCGGCGGCGAGGGCAAGGACGCCGAGACGAGCGACGACAAGGCCGACGAGCACGAGGGGAACTCCTCCGCGGACCTTCAGAACAGAGTGTCGGCACTGATGGCGCTGCTGGATCAGGTAATTTTTTTTCCTGTCACTGCTGCTGAGTGAGTTCATTCTCATGGTTACGTGGTGCAGTGCATGCTGTTGTTGTTTTGCTGCGACTGCAAGTGAGTCTGAGTTCGTTCGTAGTTTGTTCGTTGGGACAAGAACAGAACTTGACGTAGACGGAGGGTAATTTGCATTGGGTGACCATGACAGGTGGACCGCAAGTACAGGCACTACCACCACCAGATGCAGATCGTGATGTCGTCCTTCGACGCGGTGGCTGGCGCCGGCGCGGCCAGGTTGTACACGGCGCTGGCGCTGCAGACCATCTCCCGTCACTTCCGGTCGCTGCGCGACGCCGTCGCGCGCGCAGGTGCAGTCGCTGCGGCGGAGCCTGGGCGAGAAGGACACCTCGGCGCAGGGCGGTGGGCTGTCCCGGCTGCGCTACATCGACCAGCAGCTGCGGCAGCAGCGCGCCATGCAGCAGTTCGGCATGATGCAGCAGCCGCAGCACGCCTGGCGCCCCCAGCGTGGTCTCCCGGAGTCCGCCGTCTCCGTGCTCCGCGCCTGGCTCTTCGAGCATTTCCTCCACCCGTAAGGCCGTAGCAACCTAAACCTTCTTCTCCATCGATCGTGTATCCATATCACTCACGTGCTCACCAATGCTCCATGATCGAATCGATCGATAACACACACAGGTACCCGAAAGATTCAGAGAAGCTGATGCTCGCTAGGCAGACAGGCTTGTCTAGGGGTCAGGTGAGCTAGAGAGACACGAACTGGATCGATCTCCTTCTACATGGCCCTTGCTCCTTACTCCTTACTAATAATACGAGCTGCTGCTGCGTGGCTTTACGTATGTGATGTAGGTGTCCAACTGGTTCATCAACGCGCGCGTTCGTCTGTGGAAGCCGATGATCGAGGAGATGTACAAGGAGGAATTCGGGGCGGAGATGGACTCGCACTCATCGTCGGAGAACGCGCAGGGCAACAAGGGCAAGGCGGACGAGGCGATATCCTCGGAGGACCACGAGGAGTTCCAGAGCCCGTCGAGCGCCGCAAACGCAAAGCACGGCGCCGCAGCAGCAGGCCACCACCTCAGCGCGTTCAAGTCGGAGGCAATCGGTGGCATGGACGCCGCCGGCGTCGGCGTCGGCCTGTCCAGCCTCGACGGCGCCATCGGCCCGTACGCTACCAGCCTCAACCTCGGCGCTGCTGTCGGCAACGGCGGCGGCGGCCTGCAGGAGGCCTTCGCGCACCACCACGGCGGCGGCGACGCGAGGTTCGTGCAGGCGTACGGCGACATGGCCGGCCTCGGCGGCTACGACGGCGGCAGCGTGTCGCTGACGCTGGGCCTGCAGCACTGCAACGACGCCGGCGCCGTGCCCGCCGAGCAGCAGGGCCTCCTGTACGGCAACGACGGCGACTTCGAGTTCATCAACGGCTCCGCCGAGGACAGGCAGCGGTTCGGCTCGTCGCAGCTGCTGCACGATTTTGTCGCGTGAGGCGGCTGGACAACCGGGGTGCGCCGGCGAGTGGTGAATAACGCGGACGGCGTCAGAAGCCTGGGATGGCCGGCCGGCGCCGCCGCGGGTATACGATGATCACACTTCATCATGCATGGTACATGGTTTCACTTTCAAATTTCAAATTAACGAGTAAGTTCAAGCATACATACATATATACAGGGGTGGTAAGTGAGGTGGCAGTGGGGGAATTAAGGTATACAAAACTGTATATGATAATATGAGGTGTGGTATAAAGTGTAGGTTATTGCTGTAAAGAAGATTAGACTATTGGTACTATTTTTGGTAGCTTGAAGATTCGTCTACTGATGATTCAAGTCCAGATATGATGTGTTGTTGTTGCTTATTGGTCCAATTGGACCTGATCAAGTGAGTAGGCTCCCTTCGGAGATTGTAGACACAAATGTTTCATGTTTTGTATTGTACCAGTTGTTCAGTTCAGCTCTAACAACAATGCAGAAACATACTACTCTATATATAAGTCCATGATTTGAACCTCTTGTGACATCTGATTTGAGACAGATATTGCAGGTCATCAAATTTTGTATATACAGAAATGACGTTGCATTGCAAGTACGCAAACGTTCAGAATTCTGCACCTTTATATCCTTTCATTTAATCTATATAGCATTGAATTGATACACAACGTCTGAAAAAAGATCAATCGATAATATAATAAGATCATAAAAGAGTCACCTTGCTGCTGCAGCGGATGGAGGGCTGTGCAGGCCGATTCTTCAGTTTATAGCGAGCTGTATAGTCTATCCTGATTCAAAGAAAACAATCGCTCTGGAATCTGAATTGAGACAATCCCACCGGACAGATACATACCTCTGAAAAGCTTACGAAGATACGTGGACGGGGGTTATAACAAAAAAAAAGTAGGAGGAATTCATACAACATTGATGCTGCAGCGGGAGGTAGGGCTCTTTTGTGATGGAGCTGCGTTCCGACTTCCGAGGTACAATGGCGGCGGCGGCGGCGGCGGCGACGACGACGACCGGCGAGTCGATCTCCGCGTCAGCCTGTGCCACTGGCACCGATCGTGACCAGGCGGCCCACGAATAAGCCCAGGAGAGTGTATAAGGCGAAACATCCCTGGGCCGGGCCGTCAACCGTGACCATATTGCCCACGATAACCTTCAGGGCCCGCCTCGGCCTACACCCGGATCGAGCGGTGGCTCGTGTATAGCAGCGACCAGACTGACGCGCTGCGTCTGATTTATGAACAAGTATGGAATTCATCTGATTCAGGCATGTAAATATTGCATGCGGGAGGTTTCTCAAAGTACTGCACAGAGCACATTTTCTTCCCAGATGAATTGATAGAGCAGATATATATGATTTCATCATCATCAGAAGAGAAAAGACCGACACATTATAATTTTCCATGGCTACCTGAATGTTGGTTCAGTCACAACAAACTGGCAGCACGGCAATATATGTCTTCTTATCTCATGTATCCAGCCGTTTGTCATACAGACAACAGAACCAGTATGTCTGGTAAATTTAGCATCAGTTCGTCACGTTTCACAAACACAAGATGTAAACCAAAAGCAGTTACTTCTTACATTCGCAAGTGTTAATGCCTAATATATTTGCACAACTTTATACAAAAACACACTGCACCAGATTTGCCAAACACTTCTGTAATGCTTCACTTTATTACTTTCCTAACTAATAACTTGTCCACTGCGGTACTGCTGTCCAGCATTTAGACTAGTCAACTGTAATGTAAAGTCACTTGTCACTTTGTCAGCATCCAACGCCCACATTCACCTGCATAATGCGGAAAATGGTGTGTTCATTAATACGTCCAACCTTCTACTAGCACAAGGTGAAATTAGATCCATATTAATTACCAAGACGTACCTCTTAAATAGGGATTTGACGTCTGCTTGTAGTGCAGGGCTTTCAAGAAACATGTCCTTGCAGTCTGAAACATCAACCTTGGCCAGCTCAAAATCCTCGTTGCTGCAGAGCTCATCCCACTCGAACCACAGCTTCGACACTCTCTTTCTTGAAGGCGGTGTGGTGATCCTCCTCCTCTGACGAGCCAGAAGCAACAAGGCGGTAACAGTACACGACTCTAGACTGCCCCGGTCTGAATGCCCGTCCGATTGCCTGGCACATCACAGCAGGATTCTCATGAACATCCAAAATGACAATGCGGGATGCACCAACGAGGGAGATCCCCTCCCCACAAGCCTTGATGGAACCAAAGAAGACTTTAGCATCAGGTGAGTTGTTAAACCTCTCAATTGCTTGCTCTCGCTGCTCTTGTGTTGAACTGCCATCCATCAGGAAAGTGTTAACTCCTGGCTTCCATCCTTTCATTTTGGTGAACAAGGTTTCCAAGAAATGAAGAGAGCGAACATACTGGCTGAACACAAGTACCTTCTCTCCTACAGCTTCTGAAAGTGACAACAGATTGTGTATGAACTTTGCCTTCACCCCATCACTGATATCTTTTTTTTTTTGAAACAAAAGGCAGGAGCTCTGCCGCTCAATTAAGACGAAAGAAAGTAATAATGTACAAGAAGGTTAGCCAACCGAGTAGCCAAAATGGCACCCGAGGGGCTAACCACCCCACGCGACGCGATTGAGCACAAACACGACACACTGCCATGGATCATCGTTGCCGAGCATGGAAGCAAAGCTGCCAGCAGCTTGGACATCCCATGGCAGGCCACCCACTGGTCACCTCCCGACGGGTCCAAAGGAACGACCGCCACCGGTCATCGTTGCCAAGCTCAACCCACGAAGAGCAGCTCCGACTTCCAGTCGCAAACCCATGCCTCGCATCGAGGCCGCGGCGATAATCCAGATGCGGCGCCTTCAGGAAGGGAGCGACGCCGATGGCGCCACCGTCGCACGTCCAAAGTGGACCGGGTTTTCACCCTTGGATGACATGCTAGAGGGGAACACGACGCCCCCAACAGGGAAGCGGCGCCCAATGGCGTCGCCGTCGCCAAGGCTTTCGCCCAAGAACCCTCTAGCACGAACGCCGGGTCGCGAAGCCGGACCCCCTGCCAGCCAACACTGCCATCGTCGCTGTCCCGCCGCCCCACGGAAGCCCCTTCAGAGGGGCATCGACGCGCCGGCTACACGCAGCAGCCGCACAGCTGCGTCGGCATCACCCCCTCCGTCCGGGCCACGCATAGCCGAACCTGGCTCCGCCGCTCGTGTCCCAGTGCCGCACGACGAGGCCGCCGCTGACCATCTTCGTCGGCCCAGGCACCCGCCGATGTCGCAGCCGACCTCGCCGCCAGCCACAACAAGGCGTGTGCCCCACCATCTCGGGCGCCCCGCCTCGGACCACGGATCCGACACTGGACCCGAACCCGAACGGCGCCCCATGTCGCCGCCGCCTCCGTCTTGACCACAACCGCAGAGCACCGCCCCGCCGGCCCCGGAAAGCGAATCGCCACTGAGTCAGATCCGGCCTCCGGGCACCGGATCGACCTCACGTGGCCCGGATGGCGGCCCCGGTGTCGCCGCCGCCGCCGCCAAGAGAGGAGGAGGGAAGCAGAGAGGAGAAGGAGAGCCCGCCACCGTCCCTGCGCGCCGGTTGGGCACCACCAGCGCCGCCATAGCCATGACAGCCCTCCCCGGCGAGCTCCACGCAGCTCACGCGAGGGGAGGGGCCGTCGACTTCTGCCGCACGCGCGCCGCCGAGAGAAGGGAAAGGCCCGCCGCCGCCATCCCTGCCGCCAGGCGGCCATCTTGTGGCGAGCTCGCAGGCGCGGTGGGGGAGGGAGGGAGAGGCTGCTAGGGTTTGGGGGGAGGAGCCGCCCGAGCCGCTCGCGTGGGAGCGACGCGGGGGCAAGGAGCGACGCGTGGGAGCCACCCCATCACTGATATCAATTCCACATACAATTGAATCCATCATCCTTTTGCTGATGTTTCTATTTTTCTTGTCAACAATCTTGACATCCTTTAAGCATGGATGATGTGAAACAGCATTGCATTTTGCATGTGCTTCAAATCTTTTCAGTCCTGCCAAACCCTTGATGATATCTTCCTGTTTGCTACTCATATTTAGCAAAACTGTGAAATCCACAAGTCCAGGTAGCTCCTTCAAGATCTCACCTTGGTAGTAGTGGAGAATATTTTCAGTTAGCTTGTGTAGATTCTGGATAATCATCACCCTCATTGTTTTGGAATCCTTCTGAAGATTCTCCTCAATCAATTCATAGAAAACCTTTTCTGATATGGTTTTCGACCGCATAGCCATCCCTGACATGTCCACCTTAGTCAGTATACCCTTCATGATTGCACGTGATCTCTGCATCTTCAAGAATCTGGGTCAGACAAGATTCAAAATATTGAAAACCTCACTTACGTGGTTCTGAAACAGGGTCCCTGAGAGCACCACTTTTCGAGGAGTTCGAATAGTTTCAAGTGCATTGAGCAGGTCTGTTTGGTCATTTCTCGAGGTGTGGCCTTCATCTAGAATTACAAGGCTTGGGACCCTCAGCAGCTTCTCTTTGCACATTATGGTTTCTCTATCAGAAGAGTTGTCAGAAATTATGTGTGCAAATTGTTGATAGCCAAGCAGCAATATGCTTTTGCTTTCTTCCCACAATTTCAAAACTTTCAGCTGCTCAGGTCGGCTACTAGCTTTGGAGGAGTAAAAATCATACAAAGGAATGTTCTCAACTTGCCAACAGAGAAATTCACTTTTCCATGTTCCCAATATACCCTTTGGAAGCATAATCAATGGTCTCCCAGCAGGGTACCTGGCCAGAAAGCTGTGGACAAAACTAATCAGCAGAAATGTCTTTCCAGAACCAGGCGCATGTGCTAGAATACACCCTCCTGGGTTGTCCTCATCTGCCAGATTCTTAATCAAGAAATTGAAACCCTCCACTTGGTGAGGTTTCATCTGTTCTGAATGTTGAGGGTGCATTGACAGAGTATCAGGTGCAACACTTAAAATAGTTCCTAGAGCATTCATAGTTGCATCTGGATCACTAGAGTTTCTTTGTTTTTTGGGGTACGTTCTGTACGCTTGATTGCGCTGGTGTATGCAAGAAAAAAAAGATGAGAAATGGGATGTGCTAACTCACAAAAAAGAGCGTGGAAAACTAGGGATTCAAGAAACAGAAATAACTGCATTCAACATAAAACTTGAAAAATGTTTTGCAAATGAGAACTTGAATAGGACTTGATGTCGGAAACGGACTTTTAAGTTCTGTCTATGTTTTGCTTTCATTCAGAAACACATTATAACAGAGTTTTTGGAACAGCATGAAAATGCGTGTTTGATCAATAAGACAACTTCCAAGTTATGCCAAGTTGTCAAGCATATGAACAAACACTGGCAAAACTGCACAGTAATTGGTAAGTAGTAACTGGTAGAGTAGATGAAAGGACATATAATTTTCATGAACCATATTTTGAGAAACTGTTGGGAGGGAATTGTTCATTAGAAATAAAACTAGCTCCATTTTTTCTATGTGATGCCATGACATCATTTTAGTGTATGTAATTATGTACAGATCAATTTCTCCATAAAATTTCAAATGACTTAAAGAAACAGAGTAAAAGGTGATGCTTTATGAAATAGGAAATTATCAAGATAAACGCTAAACAAAATCACTAATTATTGTATAAAATATCAATCAGTAATGATGCGATTGCCAGGAAGCCAAGATTGAAATAGTATAAGAAAATGATCTTGAGACTCAGTAATTGAAGCATTCTGACAAAGAGGGAATTGATTAAACTATTTTGGACCATAAATTCTATACCTTTTTCCATGAATGCTCAAAAATTTTCTCGATGCGCTGCTGGATCAGACCACAAATACGGCACACCATGCCCAAATCATCTTTCAACAGGAAGTCATGGCTACATGCATCCTCTGTTTCCTCAGAGTTACTCTCAAATGGAACTATACTCAGACTAACTTGATTGGTCTGCTCAAACAAATGGAGTTAGACTCAAGTCACAGAAAAAAAAACAATTAATAGCAAATCACAAAGTAAGCAAAATGTAAAGGTACTGATAAAAATAATCCAGTACTACTGTGATGGTAAAACGTCAAAAAGAGAGTCAAAGGATAAAAAAGGGTGATAACCACAAAATTTGCAATACAACTAATCAGATCATCGAGGTGCTAAGTAAGATTGGACAACTAATCAAATCATCGAGGTGCTAAGTAAGATTGGACTAAAGGGACTCATCTAGTGAAAACAAATGCCTCACTGAGGACATGGGAACCAACAAGTGGACATGAAATTGCAACTAAATAATTCACAAAGAAAACTGAGAGCTACGTACTGAGGTTGCCTATCATAAACCTAGAGTCCTAACTTGATGTTTTTTGAACGGCCTAACTTGATATAGTTACAAAAAAAAAGATTGATTTTAGATTTGAGTACCTCTGAACATGCAAGTGCAACTGACATGCCCATCCACAGATCATCCAGCTCATCAACCGGGCTACCATTATCATGGTGATTACCCTCGTTGCTCTGTGGTTCATTTTGTAGAATTTCACAAGATACTTCATAAGAACCAACATGTTTCGCTATGGTTCTTCCAATCTTTCCTTTCTCTTTAAGACCATTCTGTTCAAATGAAAAGGGTGAACATTATTGGGTGGAAATGGCTGCATTTATCACCCTTTAAACTTCAGTTTATAAAGAATCAATACTATATCATGCAGGTCATGATTTTTTAGCCTGATTAGTCATATATTATATGAAGAAGAAGATGCAGAAAGTACACACGAATTTTGTGTCCCCATATAGCAAAATCAGGAACATATTTTATATAGATCTATCGGATAAAGAATATAACAACTTTATAGAAGAGGCAACATGCAGTTGCTTTAAGACACACACCATAGGCTTAGCAATACATGCATTACTTGGTCAATGAGTAGCGACTTGTAGTTGTTACACTACTTAGGAATGATAATGATCCAGTTTTTAGGCACAAAATGAGTTGTAGTTCTCTAATTTATTATAAACCATAGTGATTAACATATCATTGCTAGAAGCCAAGTAAACCTCTTTTCTTTTTTCCCGAGAAAAAACCCTCATATTTATATGAAGAAAAAGCACACCTCAGTATTAGTGTATATGTTTCCACGTGCTAGCTTCATCAATGGCTGCTGCTCAGAAGTACTGTGGCTGTCAAATAGAACAATCTTTTTGGCCTTGAAACAGAATGGCAACAAGTTAGCAATGGATGCATTCAACACAATTTAATTTACTAAATACTAGAACATGTAAATCTGTTTGGCTGATCAAGGAAACCATGAATACTCAGTATCCTCATCTACTACAAATTATCTACAACTTCAATTTTCCTGTAAAAACAATGTGTATTCACACAAGCTGAACGCACCTCAGCAGAAACATCGTCATTATCCATGCCGTCGTTCACTTGCTTAACTAAAGCCTGTGGTTCAGTACTGCTATTGCAATTGTCCGGCCTGATGATTTCCTGATGTCCGACAGGGTGCTCAAGCAGCGGGTTCTGTTGGATGTAATTATCATTTTGATTAGAAGATGAATTCTCATCACCAAAGGATTTAACCCTGTCCTTGTCGCCTGAATCAACTGCTGAAGCTGTTGAACCAGCCTCAGTGTTGCCTGCATTAACTTGGGTGTGATATTCAACATTGTCTTCGTCTGCATCCAAGTCGATAACATTATCTGGACTATAACTGCTCCCAATTTTTCCAAAGTTGTCTAGTCTTGCATTGGATGATTTGGGAAGTGGACTGGAATAAAGCTGTTCGATAGGTACTTGTCGTAGCCTTTCTATGATGCCAAAAAGTTCACGCCGTTTGGCAATGATTGCCTTGAAATCTTTGGTGACACTCCCAGCCTTCAACTCATTGACTTGCTGAAGAAACTGAAGACGAAGACGTTTATTATGAAGGAAGATGTTTGACTGGGACTGGGTCCCTGGTGAGCTAGTGTGCCTTTTCTGGCCAGCAGAACCCATCCTTCAGAAAAATAAACAATAAATTCTTTATAAGAGGCACATACTGCAAGTATGTTTACTATTAAACAACCACCTTGTATATTTGTCGGACACAAATAATCACCTCTTAAATTCATGGTGAAAGGGAAATTACAAATCAGGAATATGATATCATCAAGAGAGAATTCCTTATTTGACACTGAAGAAATGACCCGTTCCTTTCTTGGCCCTCGAAAAATTTTCATTCCCTATTTGACACCGAGTTCAACTTTTGTTCCTTCCGTGACACTCCGTCGCGTTTTCCATCCGGCCACCGTTAACTGCGCTGTGAAAAGACGATTTTGCCCCTGTGGGCCCCACCACCCTTCTCCCTCCTCTCCTCCAGGCCGCCGTGTCCTCCCCCAGTCCGCGGCCGCGCCACCTGAGGAGAAGGCCGCCGGCCGTCCCCGCCACCCATGGGCCCACCGAGCCCATCCACGGGCAGCCGTCGACGCTCGCTGGATCCGCCGCCGGGGTGCATCCTCCACCGTCGAGCCGAATCCGGCTTCCCCACCAACAGATCCAGCCGCTGCCGCGCTCGTGCCCGCCCTCGATTCGCGAGCCCCGAGGCCGGATCCGCGCGCCCCGAGGTCAGATCCACGAGCCCCGAGGCAGGATCTCGCCGGACTCCACCGTCGTCGTCGCGGCCGCCTGCTCCACCACGCCACCGTCGTCGCCGCTTCTAGTCTGCCGCCGGTCGCCATCGAGGAGAGGGAGGAGCGCGGAAGGGAGGGGCGCCACCGCGCCGAGGGGCGCCGCCGCGCCTAGGGAAGGGAGGAGCGCCGCCGCGCCATGGGAAGGGAGGACCACCGCCGTGCTCGGGAGGGAGAGGGGCTCAGAATGGAGAGTTGGAGGGAGGGAGGGAGAGAGAGTGGAGGGCGCCATCGGGAGGGACGGGCGTGTCTGCGCGACTGCGGGGAGACGGAGGGAGCGAGGCGACTGCCTGGAGGAGGAGAGGAGAAGGGTGGTGGGGCCCACAGGGGCAAAATCGCCTTTTCACAGCGCAGTTAACGGTGGCCGGATGGAAAACGCGACGGAGTGTCACGGAAGGAACAAAAGTTGAACTCGGTGTCAAATAGGGAATGAAAATTTTTCGAGGGCCAAGAAAGGAACGGGTCATTTCTTCAGTGTCAAATAAGGAATTCTCTCTATCATCAATGATGTGATAATCGTTAACAATATCAAGGAAAACAAACATTTATGCGACCAGCAAATCATGAAACGGGTAAAAAAATCATTAGGGACCAATGATTTATGCATTTCAGTTTCCACACGGCTATTCTAATTTACGAAGGAAGCTTGAGTCATGGAAGGGTGGATTTACGCACTGACTAGCAGACTGAAGTTATTAGATCAGCACATGAACCCCAGGAACCAAATGGGAAATGGAAAGGACCAAGTAAATGCAGATGTAAATCAATCGCACTGGTATCAGAAAGTGGGATGAGTGGTAGAGATCTTTGTTTGGTTAGAAAATGTAACCGATCCCAACCATTTTGATTGCATCCTTGCAACAGGGTGCCGCTAGCCGCTAGGCTCCTTGCCTGGCTGCGCCGGGATCCTGTCGAGTCCACGTCGCATGCCATAGCGCCAGGGAAGACGACGGCGAGCGACCCGTCGGGTCGCCGCCGGCTGCTCCGAGTCCTGGCCTTCGCTGGCGCTTGGCAGCCTCCCCCGCACGTAATCTCGGACGCCCGGAAGCCACGGAGAGAGGGAGCCGTGGCTTCGTCTTCGCTGCAGCGAAGGTCTAGTTCTACTGCAATCCCCAAGGTAGAATAGAAGGTACCCAAGCAGAAGCAGCGAGCGACCAATTCGTGTACGGGGAACTGTCGACCGCCCTTGATAGTGGATTTCCTCAGCGTCAACCTAAACAGATGAGTACAATTTGATCCCTGAAAGGCTGAAACAGACAAAGCTCCCTGCAGTGGCAGTGTGGCACACAAGGTCGCGATTTTCACATGGAAAATGGGGTTCAACCAGCCACATCGATCAGAACAACCCAAACCCACGGATTGCGCTTTGCACAAAAACACATGGACTGGACATAGAAATGCAAATAAAAAGGTGCAACATTTGGGGGAGAGGCGGTGAACCTGAACCAAGCCGTCCCGCGATGCTCAGCTCGGTGGAGAAGAAGTGAGAAGAGTTGGGTGATGCAGTGCGTTGTTTGTGCAATTGTGCGTGACAAAGGGCAGAAGTAGTGAAGTACCCACCCAATGCAACTTATTAGGAACTCAAAACCTTTTTGTTTTTTTCCTTACAATTTTTTCTTGTTCCAAAAACTTTTTGGCTTTTCTTTATTTATAAGATGAGAATTCTAATATTTTTCTGCTCAATACAACGCGGCCAGTTAAGCGTGAGTATGCGACATGTGTGCCATTGACCACACTCGTTGCGTGACAGCGAATGGTAACAAAGCTAGGCTCGGAGTACTAGTATTTTTAAGCAAATAACCAAAGCACAGATCAGTTCCCATTCCGTTAAGACAAGACAACGGTGTCAATATACTCCCTCCTTCTAAGTTTCATAGGCGTATTAGCTTGGGAAAAGTTTTCAAGTTTTACAGGCGCACAGCTCCTGCATGCTGTTGAATGCCTCGTTTGCACTGCATGCAGTTACTGCGTCTTCCCATATTCCCGGCTGCTCGCTTGTTTCCAGTGCATTGCTTGGAAAGCGCGCTGTATACAACCCGGCCGCTCGCTTGTTTTTCTCTCTCACCAGCTGCACTAGCTTCCTCTCTCCCTTGGCTCTCCCCAACAGACTACTTCTAGCTCTCGGCCATGGAAGAACTGGCACCGGCCATGGAGGGCGAAGTGCCGGTGTCGGCCACACTTCCCTCTCCGCCATGCACTTCTCTGGTAGAAACACTTAGCCCGCCTCTGGTGGAGACACCTAGCCCCTCGCCAGCGAAGAATGCGCCCACCTCGCCTGTGTTCATTCGTGGCCTCAACTTTGCGCCAGACTCCGAGGATGAAGCAGAGAAGGATGTGGTGGCCGGGGACGAGAAAGAGGTCGCTGCAGCCGAAAGCAATCATGTCACCATTGATCGTGAGGAGTGGCGACGACGTCGGGGCATCGAGGTCCCGTGCTCTCGTTGTGGTCTTATACACGAAGAGTATAGGCTGACGTCTTGGATCTACGGCTTCAAGGAGTTCGACTGCAAGGTAATCTTCCCTAACATCGACGATCTAAAGATGGACGGCACCACCATATTGCTTCCTGCGCATATATGGATGACCGAGAGTGATGCTGATATTCCAGACTCGGTCTAGAGTGGATGTGGTTGATGATTAAAGTATTTGATCCATTCTAGTCTTTTCTTTACTCAATCGGTGTAACCGGACAAGAGTACTAGAGTGTCTATCTATTTGATTTTGCTTGAGTTGTTAACGCTAATGTACCAGAAATAATTATCCATTCGAAAAGGTACTCGAAACATGCATTGCTTACCTTATGTTTTAATCTAACACCATGACATGCAAAAGACAATCTAAACATCATGCCTAACAGAAGCAACAAGCCTAACCAACAAAGTTCAGTGCTTGGTTGTAAATGTCCATAGGACACTCGTAGGTAGTTGGAAGGTCACCCGTCATCTCCAAGTGCTTCTTCTTCATGTGTGGAATGTTGTAATATTGCCCTCCATTTTGCTTCATGATCTCTATCATGCAACTCTGTTTGCGTTAGGAAAATCCTGTTGGACCTATCCACAGGGTACTCACGAAATGCCTTATCAACCTTTTCTACAATTTTCTCGATGTTGTTTGGAGTCCCCTTGTAAAACAACGCCTGAATTGCTACAAAGAAACCAAGGTCCAACACATTAAGATTGGGTGAGTTTGGCGGCTGGCATGTTAGCATTATGTCCCACCCGCATGGCATACCTCTATCTCGGTTTGGGCTCCATCTCTTTGCCGGCTCTACGTAGACGAAGGGAAAATTGCCAATTTTTCCATCAAATGTGCATACACCATTCTCATCAAATCTAGGCTGAGCAACCACAGCAAGTACCATGACCTTCTCAATGAAGTTTTTGCTTTTAACCGCCCTTTGTGGTCTTTCTTCATCATTGGCGAGATAGTACTTTTGGTTACGCCTAGTCCTATAGAACCACTTCTTATCGATGTACACGATGTTGTACATTGGATTGAATGTGGGAGCATTTGGAATGTTGTTTCCGAGCATGGACAAGCAATACTTAACTTGGGCTTTCTTGTTATCATCAGTTAGACTAAACTTTAGGTCATTTGTGTGTCGACGGAAATAACCTTCCTTAAAACGATTATAAAGTGTGCTTCTAGATACACCGAGAGCATTCGCTAGATCATGGAATGTTGTGCGCTCGTGCAATGGTACGATTTTTATACTATCCATGTCTATCTCTATTCTTTTACGACCACAATTCTTAGTCAGTTTGTTTTTAACACCAGTTATCCCACCTAGTTGTCCTTCTCGCCATATCCTTTGCACTACCCTACGAGGCACATCAAATTTCTGTGCAACTTCTTTAGACACGCCACGTTGCAGGGTAGGAGGTTTTGTCTTTGATAACAAATCACAGTATATAGCCATCTTAAAATCATCGGAGTAGAATCTCCTCTTTCTCACATCTGGTCCTGTATATGACAAATCTAAGTCATAATTTAAAAATTATACAGGCATCACGTATAATTATATAGGCGCATGCAAAGACACGAAGCTAACTAACACATACGAAGCTAGCGGAAAGAATAGAATATCAATACTAGCACTACAAATTGCCATGCAACACTAGAGAACAGCTCTATAATTAAGCGAAGCTAGCTTACCACAGGCGCCGTGTGCTCTCTTTGCTCTTCCTGGGCGCCGTGTGTGCTTTGCTCTTCTGGGCGCCGTGTGCTGGGACTTTTCTTTGCTCTTCACAGGCGCCATGTGCTGCTTTGTTCTGGGCACCTGTTCGTTCTTCGTCACCTACATCAGCGTGATCTTCAACTAGGAAAGCAAAAGGAAAAGAGAAGTCGGTGTCACGGATATCATATAAGTCTGCACAAACAAGTTGATTCAGGAGTCACCATTTTCTACATCGTCCCACACTAAGTGGTAATCAAGCTCATGTGCAGGACCTTCCCACTCGTCGATGGCATCCCAATCAATCGGATTGCCATTGAGGTCCCAATCCGTCGGTGGTTCTTGGTTGAGATCAAATCCTAGTTGTGCCATGGATTAGAGAGAGGTGGGTGGTTGTGGTCTTTCTACCAGAGAGTTGAGCTTAACCTATGCCAGGGCGATGGAATATATAGAGCCAAGATAGCTTCGAAATTTGGTGCAAATTGGCTTTTTGGCGCGTCTTTGTTGTATCGTAAAGCGCGGTGATTTTTTGGTCTTTGAAATCGGCTTCAAATTTTGGCCAGCAAACAAACTACGTGGGGCGTGCGAGTTTGGCGCGCAGCCGTTGCTCCAGTTTGGTACGCAGGCGTACAAGCATGAGGTTGGCGCGTATACGGCTGTATTTTTCGCGTAGAGGCGTCCGGGGCGTGGAAACCGAACCGTTGGCACTCAGGAGTTAATACGTGCCTTGGTCTCGGTAAAAACTGCTTAGGCGCCTGTGAATCTTAGAAGGAGGGAGTATAATATAACAAGATGGGGTAGTACATTCAATTCACAGCTTATTACAACAAGCACGCGATTCAAATAATTTGATGATGCACCTTACACAAGGACGGCACTAAACTGGAAAGATGCTCAAACGCTCAGTTTTCTCTGTTCACGACACAAACAGCTCCGATCCTCCTAGGGTTTTACATGGGCACAGCGGTGGCACTGCCGCCCCAGCGCTGCTGCTGGGGTTGCACGGCGGCAGCGGTGACCTTGTGCTGCAGCTGCAGCTGCAGCTGCAGTTGCTGCTGCCGCTGCTGGTTCTGCTGCTCCTGCAAGACTCTGCGGATGTACGAGGCACGCCACTGCGGGTCCACGGCCTTGTTCCGGTGCATCTCCACGAACCTGGCCTCCAGCTTCTCCCCGCCCTCCTTGAGGATATCGTCCCCGATCTCGGACGCGCGGCTGATGAAGAACTCGACGATGAGGCCCTTGAACTCTCCCCATTGCTTCAGCCGCAGCACCGACCTTAGGAACGTCGCGTACCGGGCCTCGTACATGCCGGGGTCCGCCACAAGCGCGCACACGTCGATCTGGCCCTCCCGCTCCCGGCACAGCCGCAGGAACCGCTGCTCGATGGGGTGGAACGCCGCCGGGAAGTTGGGCCGCGCCCTGTCGCCCAGGTACGCGATCGCCACGCGGTCGTGCACCAGCGCCGCCGCGTGCGGGTCCGAGAACGGCCCGATGGTGCGGCACGAGCCCCGCTCCGGGTCCACCAGCACGCGCGCCATCCACCCGTCGCCACTCGGGCCTCGTGTCACCCCGGTGTACTGGAGACGCCGCGGGCGCGGCACGCCGCCGCCTGGTAGCTGATGCGCGGCGGGTGGTCTCCCGCCCTGGCCCTGGGCTGCAGCAGCGCCAGGACGAGGACGAGGAGCACCGAAACTCATCGTCGCCGGCGTCGTCATGCGGTGGCTTCGACTCGACGAGGACGCAGGCACAGCAGGGATTCGCGTCGGCAAGTACGGTTTTGTGGTGGCAATGCGAGGCGGAGGCGGAGGCGGCGTACGAGCTTGCCAAATCTGTGATCGGACCTGGGTATTTGAAGGGCTAACGCCGCTAGTTAACTGCAAACCGACTAGGAATCGAATCGACTTCTGGTGAAAAACAGCGAGGGAATCGAAATCGAATCGGCCCAAACGACGCGCTCCCGACTCCGAGTTCTCTCCGCGCTCTTTACACCTGATGAAATCGGAATCGGCATCGGCGGACTGTGGGGAAAATCCCGGGCTTCTCGGGCATCTCGGTGCATGCCTGCATCCGCCCGCGCCGCACTCCTTCTTCCTCCTCCTCTGGCGCAGATCTCCTCCTTCCTCCGGCGTCGCTTCTTCCAACGTCACGAGCCCACGAACCTCGTCTCCGTTGTCACCGGCCCACCGCCGCCCTTTCTATCGTCCACGCCGGCCTGCCACCGGCCACCCGTCCTCGCCGTCTCGCCCGCCCTCCTCGCTGGCCCCCTCGCCGGCCTGCCTCCAACCTCCAACCTCCTCCACCTCCATCCATCCTCTCCGTCCTCTTGCGCCCCGGCGCGGGTGCCGACGGCAGAGGCCTCACGACCCCACGCCTGCCTCTGGATCCTCTTCTCGTCGGGAGCAGGGAGCTCGTCTGAGGAGCACAAGCGGGGAGCGTCTTCGAGCGGCCGCAGGGAGCTTGTTCGGGGAGGCGGGGAGCACAAGGCGGGAATGGGGAAGTACTCCTCTTGGCTCAGTGATTACGTAAGCCTGAACTGAAAACGGTTTACGACACTTTAGCCATCCACACCACCGGTCCCCGTTGCTAATGGCGATTCCCCGTTGGCCCTGTCGCCTTCCCACGGCCGCCGCAGCCACCAAGTGGTCGGCCGGAACTCTCGCCGTAGACCTCGGCGGAATTGGCGCGAGACCCTCAACGTCCGCCCTGGCTGCCGCCGCGACGGCCGCCGCCGCCGCCGGCCGCGCCTCGGAGTGCCAGTCCCTCCTCCTCCGCATGTCGCGCCGCCGCGGCGCCTCCCGACGCGATATCGTCTCTTCCCTCCTCGCCTCGTCCCCCACCCCGCAGCCGCAGGTGTTCGACCTCCTCATCCGCACCTACACCCAGTCCCGCAAGCCCCGGGAGGCCTTCGAGGCCTTCCGCCTCCTCCTCGGCCACCGCGTCCCCGTCCCGGCCTCCGCATCCACTGCCCTCCTTGCCGCGCTGTCACGGGTCAGGTGGCCTCACCTAGCCGAGGAGGCCTACCGCCTCGTCCTCTCGTCCGACTCCGAGGTAAACGCCTACACGCTTAACATCATGGTCCACAGCTACTGTAAAAGCCTAGAGTTCGATAGGGCTGACACTGTCATCTCCGAGATGGAGAAGAGATGCGTTTTTCCGGATGTGGTTACACATAATGTGTTGATTGATGCAAGGTTCCGTGCCGGAGATGTGGATGCAGCAATTGCATTGGTTGATTCGATGGCTAATAAGGGTTTGAAGCCTGGGATTGTGACGTACAATTCGGTTTTGAAGGGGTTGTGTAAGCACAGGAGATTTGATAAGGCAAAAGAGGTGTTCAGGACAATGGACCAGTGCAGTGTTGCACCAGATGTTCGGAGTTTCAATATTTTGATCGGAGGATTTTGTAGGGTTGGGGAGGCTGAGGAGGCGGTGAAGTTTTACAAGGAGATGCAACAGCGTGGTGTTACACCAGATGTGGTGAGCTTTAGCTGCCTGATTGGGTTATTCTCAAGGAGGGGGAAGATGGACCATGCAGCGGCGTACTTGAGGGAAATGAAGGGGTTTGGTTTGGTGCCTGATGGTGTGATTTACACAATGGTCATAGGTGGGTTTTGTAGGGCTGGATCAATGTCAGAGGCTCTACGAGTTAGGGATGAGATGGTTGGCCTTGGATGTCTGCCAGATGTGGTAACATACAATACCCTGTTGAACGGGCTCTGTAAGCAGCACAGGTTGCTTGACGCAGAGGAGCTTTTGAATGAGATGAAGGAGAGAGGGGTTACACCAGATTTATGCACTTTCACAACTTTGATTCATGGGTACTGTAGGGAAGGTAATTTTGAGAAAGCATTGCAATTGTTTGACACACTGCTGCAACAGCGTTTGAGGCCAGATGTTGTGACTTACAATAGCTTGATTGATGGAATGTGCAGAAAAGGTGATCTGGCCAAAGCTAATGAGCTATGGGATGATATGCATGCTCGAGAAATCTTTCCCAACCATGTTACCTACAGCATCCTAATAGACAGCCACTGTGAGAAGGGACAAGTTCAAGAAGCATTCAGTTTTCTGGATGAAATGGTCAATAAGGGCAATTTACCAAATATCATGACCTATAATTCCATCATCAAGGGTTATTGCCGATCAGGTAATGTAAAAAAGGGGCAGCAGTTTTTGCAAAAGATGAGGCAAGATAACGTATCGCCAGATCTGATTACTTTCAACACCCTGATCCATGGTTATATAAAAGAAGAAAACATGCACGGAGCTTTCAATGTGTTTAATATAATGGAGAAGGAAATGGTACGACCAGATGCTGTCACGTATAATATGGTCATAAATGGGTTTTCTGAACAAGGCAATATGCAAGAAGCTGGTCATGTTTTCAAGAAAATGGGTGCCAGTGGAACTGAACCAGATAGATATACATACATGTCTTTGATAAATGGTCATTTTACAGCTGGCAACTCAAAGGAGGCTTTCCAGCTTCATGATGAGATGATGCATAGAGGGTTCGCTCCCGATGACAAATTCGAGGGTTGTCGCCCTGCCCTGTTGGACATAAGGAAGAGAAATGCATGTGTTGTGTGTTTGCCAATGTCTTTGAAAATCACACCTCCAAGACACCGTGAATCCTGGCGTCGAAGGTGAGCTTGGGAAATTTTAGCATAAAGCATTGAAACATCAAGTTTTGCATTTAAAGCCTTCTACTCAAATTTTGCATTTTATGCACCTGTTGTTACAGTTGCTGTCTTGCTGATCTTATATCTGTCATGTGGGGCCGAACCTATGCCAGGCGCCACGGGGCACGGGACGTCTTGCCGAGCCGAGCGAACGCCTTGTATTGCACGCAGCAGCAGAGCGGCGTCGAGGAGCCCAGGCCAAGTCAACAATAGTGGCTAGAATTAGGCATAATAAGATTAGTTTCTATTTTAAGTTAGTTGCTATTTACTGTTCCTAAGATTGAGGAGATTTGTTACTCCCGTAGTCGGGGGCACGGCCATATAGGTCAGTATGTCGAGAGATTGAGAATAGGCAAGCAATCAGTTCCAAACAAACCTCTCTCTCCCTTGCATTTCCTAAGCCTGCGGCAGAGGGGCAAAACCTCGCCGGAGAAGACGGATCGCGACTACGAACTGCGTAGTCGAGGTCGTGCTATCCTTGGGTTTGACGCCCTTGACAACCTGGTATCACGTTCCTCTCGATCCTCTACTCCACGCGACGCTGCCGCGCCGTCGACGTCTGTTGACAACGCCGCCACCACCGCCGCCGCCGTCCCAGACACCAACTCCACCACATCCTACCAAGCCGCTGCCATGGGGGACGATCTCAAGTCCACCCTGGAGACCCTCGCCAAGACCCTGGCCTCCCTGCAATCTTCATCCGACGCCACGACCAAGGCGATCGAGGCCAACACGCAGGCCATCGCGGCCCTGTCCGTTGCTCGGACTACCGAGAAGCCTTCCACGGAATCATCGGGGACACCCGCACCAGATCGGCCGCCGAAGCACTGGCGCCCGGAGTTTCCCAAGTACGATGGCAAGACCGATCCGCTCGCCTTCATCAATCGATGCGAGTCATTCTTCATCCATCAACACGTCATCCCGGCGGAACGCACGTGGATGGCTTCGTACAATCTGCAGGACGGCGCGCAACTGTGGTACATGCACGTCCAGGACAACGAGGGTACGCCGACGTGGGAGCGTTTCAAGGAACTCCTCAACCTCCGCTACGGGCCCCCGCTCCGCTCCGTGCCGCTATTCGAGCTCTCGGCGTGCCGCCGCACGAGCACCGTGGACGACTACCAAGATCGGTTCCAGGCCCTGCTTCCCCGCGCCGGTCGTCTCGAGGAAGCCCAGCAGGTACAGCTGTTCACCGGGGGCCTCCTCCCGCCGCTCAGCCTCCAGGTCCAGCAGCAGAAGCCGGCATCCCTGGAAGAGGCCATGAGTCTCGCCCGCCAGTTCGAGCTCATGGAGCCCTACCTGTTCCCGGCCACGACATCCGCGCGCGGCGTACTCCCGACGCCGGCCCCCCGGCCATCGACCGGCCCCGTCGTCAAGCCGGCACCGGCCACCGTCACCGTCGAGGGTCGCCCGGTCAAGCGGCTCTCCCAGGCCCAGCAGGAGGAGCGCCGCCGCCTCGGGCTGTGCTACAACTGTGATGAGAAATACAGCCGCTCCCACAACAAGGTATGCAAACGGTTGTTTTTTGTGGAGGGTGGTGCAAACGAAGAAGGCGACGCCACGGTGGAGGATGACACCGACGAGGCGACTGTCGAGGCGCCCGTGTTCTCCTTGCACGCGGTGGCTGGCATTCCGGTGGGCAACCCGATCCTGCTCCAAGTGACGCTCGGTGCCGCCTCCCTCGTCGCCCTGGTGGACACGGGCTCCACCCACAACTTCATCGGTGAGGACGCCGCGCTCCGCACCGGCCTGCCCGTCCAGCCGCGTCCACGGCTCACTGCGACGGTGGCGAACGGGGAGAAGGTTTCCTGTCCGGGTGTGCTGCGGCGGGCACCGATCACCATCCAGGGCATGGCGTTCGACGTCGACCTTTACGTCATGCCCCTCGCCGGCTACGACATGGTGCTGGGCACTCAGTGGATGGCCCACCTGGGCACCACCATCGCCTGGGACGTGACCACGGGTACCGTGTCCTTCCAACATCAAGGGCGCACCGTCTCGTGGCAGAGCTTACCCCCGCATCAGCGCGCCGATGCCCACGCCGTCAGCACCGGGACGAGCCTCGTTGCGGCCACCGGGTCGTCCTCCAGCACTCCGGCGGCCACGACGGAGCCTGCCCTCCTCGACGGCCTCCTGGGCTCCTTCGACGACGTCTTCGCCGAGCCACGGGGCCTGCCACCACCACGGGGCCGCGACCACGCCATCCACCTCTTGCCAGGCGCCCCGCCCGTCGCCGTGCGTCCCTACCGCTACCCGGTGGCGCACAAGGATGAACTTGAGCGGCAGTGTGCCGTCATGATGGAGCAGGGCCTCATTCGCCGGAGCACGTCGGCGTTCTCGTCCCCCGTCCTGTTGGTCAAAAAAGCCGACGGTTCGTGGCGGTTCTGCGTCGACTACAGGGCCCTCAACGCCATCACCGTCAAGGACGCCTACCCGATCCCGGTGGTGGACGAGCTGCTGGACGAGCTGCACGGCGCCAAGTTCTTCACCAAGCTTGATCTGCGCTCGGGCTATCATCAAGTCCGGATGCGGGCTGAAGACGTCCCCAAGACGGCGTTCCGGACGCACGATGGTCTCTACGAGTTCTTGGTCATGCCATTCGGGCTGTGCAACGCCCCGGCGACGTTCCAAGCACTAATGAACGACATCCTCCGCATATATCTTCGCCGTTTTGTCCTTGTGTTTTTTGACGATATTCTCGTCTACAGCAACACCTGGGCAGACCATCTGAGGCACATCCGGGCGGTGCTCCTCCTGCTGCGTCAGCATCGCCTGTTCGTCAAGCGCTCAAAGTGCGCTTTCGGCGTCAGCTCCATCTCCTACCTGGGCCACATCATCGGCGCGACGGGCGTGTCCATGGACCCGGCCAAGGTGCAGGCTGTCGTGGACTGGCCGCAACCGCGTTCGGCCCGCGCCGTCCGGGGCTTCCTGGGGCTCGCGGGCTACTACCGCAAGTTCGTCCACGACTACGGGACCATCGCCGCCCCCCTCACCGCGCTGACCAAGAAGGAGGGGTTCCGGTGGTCCGACGAGGCGGCGACTGCGTTCCACGCCCTCAAGCACGCCGTCACCACGGCCCCGGTTCTGGCGCTACCCGACTTCGCCAAGCCATTCGTCGTCGAGTGCGACGCCTCTACGCATGGGTTCGGCGCGGTACTCCTGCAGGACAAGCACCCGCTGGCGTTTTTCAGCCGCCCCGTCGCGCCGCGCCACCGTGCGCTCGCTGCCTACGAGCGGGAGTTGATCGGCCTCGTCCTCGCCATCCGCCACTGGCGGCCGTATCTGTGGGGGCGTACGTTCGTGGTGAGGACGGACCACTACAGCCTCAAGTACTTGCTCGATCAACGCCTGGCGACCATCCCCCAACACCATTGGGTGGGCAAGCTCCTCGGCTTCGACTTCTCGGTGGAGTACAAGTCGGGCGCCTCCAACGTGGTGGCCGATGCCCTCTCGCGCCGCGACACGGACGAGGGTGCCGTCTTGGCACTGTCGGCGCCACGGTTCGACTACATCGAGCGGTTGCGGGCAGCCCAGACCACGGAGCCTGCTCTCGTGGCCATCCGCGACGCCATCCAGGCCGGCACCCGCAGCGCGCCGTGGGCGCTTCGCGACGGGATGGTGATGTTCGACTCCCGGCTATACATTCCGCCATCGTCACCATTGCTCCACGAGATCCTGGCGGCAATCCACAACGACGGACATGAAGGCGTGCAGCGTACCCTGCACAGGCTGCGCCGCGATTTCCACTCTCCCGCCATGCGCCGGGTGGTTCAGGAGTTCGTCCGGGCGTGCGACACATGCCAGCGCAACAAGTCTGAGCATTTGCACCCGGGCGGCCTGCTTCTTCCCCTGCCGGTTCCAACTACGGTGTGGGCCGACATTGGCCTCGACTTCGTGGAAGCTCTGCCCCGTGTGGGTGGGAAGACAGTGATCCTCACCGTCGTCGACCGGTTCAGCAAGTACTGTCATTTCATCCCTTTGGCTCACCCCTACACAGCTGAATCAGTGGCTCAGGCGTTCTACGCGGACATTGTGCGCCTCCACGGCATACCCCAGTCCATGGTGTCGGACCGGGATCCGGTGTTCACGTCATCCTTCTGGCGCGAGTTGATGCGGCTGACCGGTACAAAGATGCACATGACGACGGCCTTCCACCCACAATCTGATGGCCAGACGGAGGCCGCCAACAAGGTCATCGTCATGTACCTGCGGTGCTTCACCGGCGACCGACCTCGGCAGTGGGTTCGGTGGCTCCCGTGGGCGGAATACATCTACAATACCGCCTATCAGACATCTCTCCGCGACACGCCGTTCCGGGTGGTATACGGGCGCGACCCGCCGATCATCAGGTCCTACGAGCCCGGCGAGACGCGCGTGGCGGCCGTCGCTCGCTCCATGGCGGACCGTGACGAGTTCCTGGCCGACGTGCGCTACCGGCTAGAGCAGGCCCAGGCGACGCACAAGAAGTACTACGACAAAGGCCACCGTGCGGTGTCCTACGAGGTGGGCGACCTCGTTCTCCTGCGCCTCCGTCACCGCGCCCCGGCATCGCTGCCCCAAGTGTCCAAGGGCAAGCTCAAGCCCCGCTACTTCGGGCCCTACCGCGTCGTCGAGGTGATCAACCCCGTCGCCGTCCGCCTCGAGCTCCCGCCTCGCGCCAAGCTCCACGACGTGTTCCACGTAGGCCTCCTCAGGAAGTTCGTGGGAGCTGCGCCACCATCGCCTCCGGCACTGCCTGCGGTCCACCACGGTGCCATTGAGCCCGAGCCAGAGCGCGTCACCCGTTCTCGGCTAGCTCGGGGCGTTCGCCAAGTTCTGGTCCACTGGAAGGGGGAATCGGCTGCGTCCGCCACATGGGAAGACCTGGACACCTTCAAGGAGCGTTACCCGGCGTTCCAGCTCGAGGACGAGCTGGCTCTCGAGGAGGGGAGAGATGTCATGTGGGGCCGAACCTATGCCAGGCGCCAC